ATAATAATATGCTTAATTTTTATAGCTCCTTTCAAGAACCCAAGGACGCTTCACAAAATAAATACAAGCAATTGGCAAACAAAATACATCAGACAGTTGCTTATTGTCTTTTATATTGCAATATTGATCATAGAAATGTTTAAACTGGTTACATTATTTTTAAGGAGAATGAAGAGGATATCTGCATCTTCTGTTGCTGAATTTGGACTTTTGTGCATGCAGCCAGTGGGAATGTGTCTCTACTAGTGTGCAATCGCAGACAGAAAGAAAGTCTTTAAGAAAGTCAACTGAATCTGTTAGCTCACTGTTAGCTAATCAGTAACTACTATTTTTTTCATACCTCCCAGAAACGTGCTAAGGAACTACATACAGTTTCATAAAGTAACACCATTCATAAAGTTCTCACCATTGACTACTTGCTTATTAGCATGCCTATTAATAACATATTGACTCTAGCCTATATTAGTACTTATGAAGCACATCTTCTGCATGACCACATACATCCCTAATCCTACCCAATACCTAAACTCAATTTACTAACTATTAATAAGTAGCAAATTAGGAGTTTATTGAGGCAAAAGTCATCTGAATTACTAATGCAAAGAAACTGATTAAAAATCGGCAGCAATCAAAATGTTATACATTTGCTTAAATCAAGGCAGCTGGCATTTATTATTTTATCACAAGAGAATATAGCACTTACAATAAACAATAGTAAACTGTATTAAGTGCTACATTTTGCAAATGACTACTAAAATCGTATTATTCCTCTGAGACAAGAATTACATTTTTCAAATATGTAAAAAGTCACACATAAAATTAATTTAGATTGCATTTTCATTTATGTAGTCCATTGGAATGCACCATTTGGATGCCATGTACTGGTACCACCTCTCATTATTTGCCAATAACTGCATGTTTTGTACCTAAACCTTTTCAATTTCAGATCTTTCAACAGTGTCATTTCTACTGATAAAAGTACAAATCCGATTCCAAAAAAGTTGGGACACTGTACAAATTGTGAATAAAAACAGAATGCAATGATGTGGAAGTTTCAAATTTCAATATTTTATTCAGAATACAACATAGATGACATATCAAATGTTTAAACTGAGAAAATGTATAATTTTAAGGGGAAAATAAGTTGATTTTAAATTTCATGGCATCAACACATCTCAAAAAAGTTGGGACAAGGCCATGTTTACCACTGTGTGGCATCCCCTCTTCTTTTTATAACAGTCTGCAAACGTCTGGGGACTGAGGAGACAAGTTGCTCAAGTTTAGGAATAGGAATGTTGTCCCATTCTTGTCTAATACAGGCTTCTCATTGCTCAACTGTCTTAGGTCTTCTTTGTCGCATCTTCCTCTTTATGATGCGCCAAATGTTTTCTATGGGTGAATGATCTGGACTGCAGGCTGGCCATTTCAGTACCCGGATCCTTCTACGCAGCCATGATGTTGTAACTGATGCAGAATGTGGTTGTCATGTTGGAAAATGCAAGGTCTTCCCTGAAAGAGACGACGTCTGGATGGGAGCATATGTTGTTCTAGAACTTGGAAATACCTTTCAGCATTGATGGTGCCTTTCCAAATGTGTAAGCTGCCCATGCCACACGCACTCATGCAACCCCATACCATCAGACATGCAGGCTTCTGAACTGAGCACTGATAACAACTTGGGTTGTCCTTGTCCTCTTTAGTCCGGATGACATGGCATCCCAGTTTTCCAAAAAGAACTTCAAATTTTGATTAGTCTGACCACAGAACAGTTTTCCACTTTGCCACAGTCCATTTTAAATGAGCCTTGGCCCAGAGAAAACGCCTGCACTTCTGGATCATGTTTAGATATGGCTTATTTTTTGACCTATAGAGTTTTAGCCGGCAACGGCGAATGGCACGGTGGATTGTGTTCACCGACAATATTTTCTGGAAGTATTCCTGAGCCCATGTTGTGATTTCCATTACAGTAGCATTCCTGTATGTGATGCAGTGCCGTCCAAGGGCCCGAAGATCACGGGCATCCAGTATGGTTTTCCGGCCTTGACCCTTACGCACAGAGATTGTTCCAGATTCTCTGAATATTTGGATATTATGCAATGTAAATGATGATAACTTCAAACTCTTTGCAATTTTTCTCTGAGAAACTCCTTTCTGATATTGCTCCACTATTTTTCGCCGCAGCATTGGGGGAATTGGTGATCCTCTGCCCATCTTGACTTCTGAGAGACACTGCCACTCTGAGAGGCTCTTTTTATACCCAATCATGTTGCCAATTGACCTAATAAGTTGCAAATTGGTCCTCCAGCTGTTCCTTATATGTACATTTAACTTTTCCGGCCTCTTATTGCTACCTGTCCCAACTTTTTTGGAATGTGTAGCTCTCATGAAATCCAAAATGAGCCAATATTTGGCATGACATTTCAAAATGTCTAACTTTCAACATTTGATATCTATATTCTATTGTGAATAAAATATAAGTTTATGAGATTTGTAAATTATTCCATTCCTTTTTTACTCACAATTTGTACAGTGTCCCAACTTTTTAGGAATTGGGTTTGTAGAATGAACAAAACAACTATTATGTCCGAAGCCAATGACACTAACTACAGACCTCCCTACCTGAGAGAGAGAGAGGAGGCACTCTGGGTGTCACGAATCCGGTCAATGAACTTCCGTCTGCTAGCCATCAGAGGTCACCCTTTCCATTTTCATTGACTCCCGCACTACACACTGTTGCATGTCATCCCGGACTACATATCCCATCATTCATTGCACTGATTGCACACAGCTGTTTCATATTACTCACTCCCTATTTAACGCTCACTCTTATCCCTTCCCTCTGCTGAGTATTGTTTAGCGATTATCACTCCCCTAGCGATAGCTACACTCCGAAGCCCGTTTAGTTTGTTTTAGCCCCACCTTAGTCTTGCCTTGTCTGTGGTCTTGTTCTTGATCTTCGCCTGTGTCTCTCGGATTCCTCCTCTCGTCTTGCCCCATTTTTGATACTTTTTGCCCCTGCCTGGACCTTGCCTTGTACCTGGACTTATCCCTCTAGTCGCGCCCCTTTTGATTCTGTTTGCTTATCGTTGATCTACGCTAGCCCTAGGACTATTCTTGTGTCTTGCCCGCCATATACCTGTTTGACCCTGCCTGTGTTTCTGACCTCCTCTGATGTGAATAAAGCTTGCATATGGATCCGCACGTCTCACGTCTTGTCAGCCCCGTAACACTGGGTTAGAGGCTCTACTCTTTTTGGTAATAAGTATTCAAACCAATTTATATAAAAAATGATCAAGGCTTAATTCCCTTACCACTGGTATATTATATATTCTTGACATTAAAAATATACAAAACAGCAAAATACTTTTAAACTGTCAATTAGTATATATATATATATATATATATTAAATGTCCTATATCATTATTAGTTAGTATTTTTTAATGTTAATTATTGACTTATTATCAGAGATATACTACGCTATTATAAACAGTGTTACCTTGTCCATACTGTACATCCTATACAGTTTTGCTAACTACTGCAATTTCACATATGGCATCTGATCTTCAGGAAACTGCTACAGTAGCTGAATGCTATAAACAATAAGGATTTAATGAATCAAAGAATTGATGCATTTAGTGAACAGAAAATAGCACCAAAACAATATTTGGGGGTTGTCACGTACCTTCATCCTACGTGTTACATCATTAAACTAAGTTTCAGTGTATTTTTCTTTCTAGTTCCCCTTAGTTTTATAGTGTCACTTTTGTTTGTTCAATAAACTTCATTCAGTCTTCTCCACAAGAGAGATCACAGACTAACCCCTGGCAAAAAGAAAGAAAGAAAGAAAGACCTGTTGCTGGTTATTGAATGGTGTTGTAAAAAATAAAGTAATTAAAAGACTACTTTTGCATCATATACAAGTAATCAATAATAATGATAATAATAATAATAAACAAAAAAAGTAAAAGATATTACTTCAAAGTTTTTGGCTGAAAAATCTGGTGTACTGCCTAAACTGTGTACTGAGATGCACAATGGCGCCGACACTGATGGCTGCCTCCGTGGCGTGCTCTGCAGTTGTTTTTATGTTTTTGTTAGTTTGTCCTGTCTTTAGTTATATCCCTGCAATCAGTTTCACCAGAGACGAATTGCTGGACATTCGGAAGTACACACCACCCGATATTTCACCGGTTTTCGACTATTCGGATGTTTTGCTGGACATTGTTGTCGGGGGAGCTGTGGCGCTGATCAAATCGTATGTGTAAACATACCTGGCAATAAAAACTCATTCTGATTCTGATTCTGATTCTAAACAATGTGCGCATTTGATGTAAGGAAAAGCAGGTGCCCACTTGAGTAACATGGTTCTAGTTTGACTTTGAGAAGTAATCCTAGTCTACCATAAATTATTTATCTATTGGATTAAATATTAAAAAGGTTAGGGTTAAAGGCGCTTTGAAAATGTGTGAAACAGTCAGTATGAAACAGCTAGGCTGTGCCAAATATTAGCCAAGTCAGTAACCACAGAAGCACATTATAATACAATAACACTGATGTTGTGTTTTACAAGTAACATTGCACTCACACAAGAGTCCCACATTTCTACCAAGTTATGTATACATTCAGCAGTCAGTTCACAAAAGACAAGCGACAAGCGATTAGTCAACAGAAGAGAAGAACAGCAATGCGTGAGTGTTTTGCATAATACTTGTTATAGATCTGTTGTTTAAATTATTACTTGCTGCTAGGAAGGAATATTTCGTTTTCTAATGATCTTCCCACCCCTATCCGGAATGCTGAATCCCTGACAATTTTCAAGTGACAGCTGAAAACTCATCTTTTTAAACGCTACTTGACTTCATCTTTATTTAATCCTTCCCTTTTCTAGCTTGTACTTATTTGAACAAAGACTAAAACTTGGTATTTCAAGCACTTCCTGTGTCTGTTTGCCTCTTTAAGAAGAATCGCTTTATGTATTCCCCAGTTGTAAGTCGCTTTGGATAAAAGCGTCGGCAAAATTACTAAATGTAAATGTAAATGTAAGACAATCTGGAGCAGTCCAGAGTAGTCCAGAGCAGTCTTGAGCTGTCAAGAGTAGTCCAGAACAGCAGCACAGGAAAGCTGGCATTATAACAATGAGTATTACTTATCTAGAAATGTCCAAGTGCTTAGGGTGGATTTCCTGACTAAAATCTAGACAGCATTGTCAAAAATCTTAAGAGACTGCATTGCATTTTCATCCTGCAAAACAAAAGCATCAACAGTTGTATTATTATGCATATCTGCTTTAGGAAATAAAGGTTTAGATAAAGATAAAAATTAGCCATACTTTTTGGAAGCAGTCAATGAATTCATCAATAGTTACTACACCATCCTGGTTTATGTCCATTTTCTTAGGGGAGAAAAAAACAAACAAATGTGATTACAATGCATTTTGCTTGTAATGCATGTATGAGCGAGGTGTAATCTACACTGTAAAAAAAATCCCGTAAAATTTACAGTAAAAAACCGGCAGCTGTGGTTACCGGAATTTTACAGTAAAAAATACGGTAGCAACGTTTTAGGTTTTACGGTTTTAACTTAAATTTATAGTTAAATACCGTAATTTCATTAACTGGTATAATGTTAATATACCAATCTACTGAAGTACTGAAATCTATTTTGTACCTTTGTAATACACTGATAACCACCAAATGCAGGTGGTGATGAGAAAGTCACATGATGAATCAAAGCCCATCACAAGCATCTTTTAAATAATAACATATATAGAAGGTGCACAGTGTCATTCACACAAACGCTAAACACCATCATGGTAACACACATGACACTGAAATAATGCAATAAACATTCATTTAACAACATTAGGTGTAACACACAAACCTAATATACAAAACTGATAAGAAAAAACTAAGAAGGAACATAGTTATTTCAACAAAACAACATCAAATTTGAAATGTAACGCAGGGAATTCTGGGAATGTCAATTTACGTTTATTCACTGTAAATTATACGGTATTTTTCACTTCCAAAAACGGTATACTACCGTAAAATTAATGTCCAATACATGTAATGTCCAATACAGTTTTTCACCGTATATAGTAGGGGAATTTACCGTTAACCATTTAACAGGTTTTTACTGTAGCATTTTTACAGTCTTTTACCGTTAAATTCACGGTAATTTTTTACAGTGTAGTAACGCATATTGAGACTGACTTTTGACAGAGATTTGAGAGAGGTTTTAATAAATATTTCTGCTGCATAACCAGCCTGACCTCATTAAAAATGTGAATAATTTATAATAACAGATTTAATGGTTGCCATATCTCACTACTGTTTCCAGGTGAAATGCCCGCTGCCAAAATATGTATTTTATTCTAAACTTTAACCTTAATTTTTTAACAATTTCAATCCAAAATTACAATATTTAAAGAACTTGTAGTGCACTGTAGGTACTTTCTTTCAGTGTGTTTCCTGGCATTTGAAGCCATGACTTTGATTGAAAGTAGGGCTAAATGGCACTTTACATTAAATGATCAACAAAATTGTAGAACTAACATTACAGTAACAATTTTTATTATGCCCAGGTTACTGATTTTGTCTGTACAACAAACAGGGTGATATTTAAGGTGCAATAAAATAATTAAAATAGTTCACCAAAAAATGAAGATTCTGTCATCATTTGCTCACCCTCATATTTGTATGACTTTCTTTCCTCTGCAGAAGATGTTTTGAAGAATGTTGGTAACTAAACAGTACTGGTTACCAGTGGTGTTCATTGTTAGAACATTACTCATAATATCTTCTTTCATGTTCCACATAGGACAGACAGTCATACAGGTTTAGAAGACATGAGGGTGAGTGATTGAACAAGTGTGAATTTTTTGGGGTGAACTATCCATTTAAGTGCCATATACAAATAGGATTAAAAGTCATAGTGCTTCTAGCGCCACCTTGTGGACATTTTCACCTGAAAACTTCTATAATATAAAGCAAAATGGTAGGTCCTACATATTTTCCAAAAATGTATGCTTAGTCACTTTTTCTAAACATAATAGTGCATAAAGGCATTACTTGGAAGAACATTCTGACGTGTTGCCTTACTGCCTCCTCTTTAAGTCGTGGATGGATAGATTTCCCCATCAAATCATAAATAGACTTCAATATATCTAACATTTCCTGAAAAAAAAGATCATATACAGTCTTTGTATTCAATACTTCACAGAACAAACAAAGTTTTTTGACAGGAATCAAAACTCAAGATGTAGTTCAGATCTTGAGAGCTTCAGATTAAAATGTTTTCAGACCTCTTTAGTAATCTGTCCATCTTTGTTGATGTCATATAGATTGAATGCCCAGTTAAGCTTCTCTTCTGTAGTGCCTCTCAACAAAACGTCTCAGGTTACTTATGTAACCATGGTTCCCTGAGTAGGGAACGAGACACTGCGTCCTCTAGGGGTCGCTATGGGGAACGCCTCGTCGTGACCCGTGTCTGAAGCATACTGCATAATACCTCTGTCCCAGATTCTCATGAAGAACGTCCTGGTGCATAGTTTTGATGCTTGCAGAGAAGCACTGGTTTTCACAAGATACAGTCTCTGTGCTTAAAAAACTTTTATTTTTTAAATTGAATTGTCCATGCATGAGAAATATACCATATCTGAGGAAATACAGAAGACAATGAAAGAAAGAAAAAACATTGAAGATATTTCACAATTATAATAGCATACTGTGATCTCCTTTAAAACATTCAGTCCTACTTGAAATGTTTACTATTTGTAGGTCAAATGTTCTTGTTAACCAATTGTTTTTGTATGAGGAGATTAATTATTGGAGTACTAGAATTACACACTTAAAGATTGGTCAAGGTGTTACAAGGTGCTCCTAGAACATAATCTATCAAGTCACAGCACCCACCACTGTTCACTGGTCACATTTCACTGCACAGGTGGTGCTACAAATAACTAGAGCAGATTTTAGAGTTGCATTTGTCTAGTTCTAGATTTTTAATCGGTTTAAAGGGAATTTTTTTTATGCAGGAAACATTAATTAACTAAATAAAATACAATTATAATATTTAATTTAGTATGTGTTATATACACCGTTTAAAAAAAGTGGCAACCTTCAATTGTTACCTTAAAGAACAATTTTATCTGATGTGCCTTAAAAATTATTATAGCCTTATAACAAAATTTGTTTTGTTGATATAAATTAATGTTTTTTTTTAAAGCTGAAAGTTACATCTCTGTATTTACCCCTAAATGGTACATATTAGTACCTTAAAGGGATAGTTCACCCAAAAATGAAAATTTGATGTTTATCTGCTTACCCCCAGGGCATCCAAGATGTAGGTGACTTTGTTTCTTCAGTAGAACACAAATGGATATTTTTAACTCAACCCTTTGCAGTCTGTCAGTCCTATAATGTCAGTGGATGGGAATCACGGCTTTGAGAGTCATAAAACATACACAAACAAAACCAAATGAAACCCTGCGGCTCGTGATGATACATTGATGTGTAAAGACACAAAACGTTTGGTCTGTGCAAGAAACTGAACAGTATTTATATCGTTTTTTACCTCTGATTTTCACCGCAATGTCTGAACTGTCCTGAGCGCATTCGCGTCTTCTTCTTCAGCCTGCACGTGAGGCGTCTTCTTCTTCTTCTTGCTTTACGGCGGATCGCAGACTTATAAGTGCATTAC